AACCCCCAAACCCTAAACCCCAATACTCTAAAGCCCTAAAACCCTAAACCCCAAACCCTAAACCCCAAAAACCCTAAACCCCAAAAACCCTAAACCCAAAAAGTCAATCCGGAGAGCATCAACGAAGGATGGTGCTGCGATCAGGGCCTGGGGCCTTCGTTTAGCCGGATCGCCTGCTTAGGGTTTAGGGCTTGGGGTTTTGGGTTTTAGGGGAATTTAGGGTTTAGGTTTTATGGTTTAGGGTTTAGGGTTTAGGGGTCTAGGTTTTAGGGTTTAGGGTTTATAGGGTTTAGGGTGCAGAGTTAGGGTTTAGGGTTTAGATGGGTTTAGGGTTTAGGGCGCAGAGTTAGGTTTTATGGTTTAGGTTTTAGGGTTTAGGGCGCAGGGTTAGGTTTTAGGGGAAGGGTGCAGAGGAAGGCTTTAAATTTTGGGGCTTCGGGTTTGGGGGAAAGGGTGGGTGCAGAGGAAGTCGCAGTCGCCAGAACCACAAACGATCATCCAAACAATAGCAGCATACATCGGTGTTATTCTCACCTGCTTCTGCGCCTGACCAGAGCACGGAGTCGGTTGCACTTCAGTTACTTGTCGGAAATACCACAGCACAAAACTTCGATAAACCCTAAACCCTAAACCCTAAAACCCTAAAACCCTAAAACCCTAAAGCCTAAACCCTAAACCCAAGACACGGCACCGAACACCTTCCCACCGGCCCAAAGAACCGCCACACACCAAAGGCAATGCCGCAAAAGCAGAACCTTAACCTAGAACCTTACCTAGGTCGGCGCAAAAAATCTAAATCCAATCAATCAGTCGTAAGATCCTCTTAGGCCCAATTAAGGAAGAGATAAAACAAAAAGTCTCGAAGGCCTACCTGGCAAACAATCCCAAGAATCCTCCCCAAGAGCTACGATCGGAAAACCGACTTGACTACAAGTACCTAAATGAGTAATACAGTGGACCTCGGGGCTACCCCAAAGCAACCCTTGTAAATCCTACACCCCTAAACCCTCGTGTAACCCTACACCGCACCAAGTCCCTCACCCTATGTAACCCCTATAGGCCCTATAGCCCTACATGACAATCTCCAAACGTCCCTGGGGCTCGGACTGTTACTGTGTCGCTGCCGCCGCTCTTCGGCACGATCCTGATGCTTGGGGTTTGGGCTTCGGCCTCGTGAAGTTGGGCACGTGTAGGGATCTACGCATCGACGGACGTTTTCGACTCTCCAAGCTTTGGCTCCTTGCTAGGAGCGGGCAGGCAGTTGGGCGGTGGATGGTCAAAGGTCTAATCTAAGGCTGCAGGGGTTCATAGTTTAGTGTGGGTGTGGCGGCAGCTTCCGCAGCAACGAGAGCAACTGGAGCAAATTTTCACAACAGCCGGGAGAAGGCTGAAACCAGAAGATACTTCGTTGATCATGTAGAGGAGAAGACTCGTCATCGGAACAGTGTTCGTCCTACAGTGATGGCTTGTCCAGGACAGCTGCGTTGCAAAAGGAATGGACGAAGCAACAGCAACAGCAGCAGCAGCAGCAGCAGCAGCAGCAACAGCAACACCAACAACAAACCCCACACCACCACCGCCGCCGCCACCGCCACCGCCACCACCACGGCCACCACCACCACCACCACCGCCA